TGGCTGAAGTACGCGATGGGCTTCTCCGATCCGTCGGTTTCCTTTTGGTATAGCACAGCGCCCACACCGTACTCAGACGCGTCACATTGCACAAAGAAGCGTTTAGCGAAATCTGGATGTATAAGCACAGGTGCGCTCGTTAGCGCTCTCTTTAAGTTATTGAAAGCTTCCAGGGCTTGCGTATTCATTACGAATTTTTGGCCTTTCTTCAGCAGGTCTGTCAAAGGTGCTGCCATCGCAGCAAAGTCTTTTATGAAGCGCCGATACCAGCCGGCGGTTCCGAGGAAACTTCGAACTTGCTTGACCGCTTTCGGTATCGGAATGTTTTGGATTGCTCTAATCTTTTCAGGGTCGGTCTTAAGTATACCGCCACCAACGATATACCCCAGGTAAGGCAGCTCTTTAAAACAAAATTTAGATTTCGATAATCCTATGGTTAAATTCGCATCTTTTAAACAGGTGGATACCTCGCTTAGGATTTGGAGGTGCGAATCAAAATCTGGCGCAATGATCAGCAAATCATCAAGATATATGAAAACGTTTCCTTTAAGTTTCTGAGGAATTACGCGGTCCATTAATCGGCACAAACGCTGCGCGGCGTTGCATAAACCGAACGGCATTGTTACAAACTGATACAGGGGCCGTCCAGGTACCGTGAACGCAGTGTATGGTTTGCATTTGTCCTCCAACTCAATCTGCCAAAAGGCGAATTTAAGATCAACACTGCTTATAAAGTGGGTGTCGTCGAGGCGGCTGAGTATGCCTTCGATGTTCTGCAGCGGGTAGGCGTCGTTCACGGTTACAGCATTCAGTTTGCGCGCGTCAAGGCAGAAGCGATTTTTACCCGGTTTACGAACAATTGTCGTGCGGTTACTCCACGGGCTCTCGCTTTCCTCGATCACACCTAATTCCAACATTTTATCTACTTCTTCGTAAACGATCGCTTGCATTGCCGGGGTCAAAGGGTAGTGGCGGTCTTTTATTGGCACCGCCTCGTCGACCAGCTTGATGGAATGCTTTTCAAGGTGAGTGCGTCCTAACCCGTGTTCTTCATAAGTTTTGAAGCCGCTGACCACCTGCTGTAGACGTTGTTTTTGTTCCGCCGAAAGAATATGCAGGACATGCCGCTCGTTCTTATCCTCTTCGGACACCAAATCCCGCTCTAATTTGCTGAAGTTGATTTCATCTATTGATATCAGATCTGGAGCTAACTGGAATGCGCGCCAGAAGTCCACCCCTAAGTAGATATTTTGTTCAAGGTGAGGGCATAAAAAAAAAGTTATATTTTGTTCTAAATCTTTGTACTTTACAGGTAAGGTGAGTTTGCCTAACACATTGTGTGAGCGTCCTCCAGCCGTTTTTACACTCGAAACGTACCGTTCAATTGAGGCGTCTAGTTCTTCTATGAACTCCCTACAGCCACGGCCCAGAATGCTTACCGATGCGCCAGTATCTAACAATCCGCGTGTACGAATTCCCTGAATTTCGATGTCGGCATAAACGCGGGGATCCGCTTGATCTGCGCTCTTTACCGACGACACAACCTTTCGGCGTAGCAGCTTACGTTGTCGAAACCTATCACGCGCCTTTTGAACTTTCCGCGGAACCCTTCGGCGTCCCATCAAGGCGCTGTCGGCGAAAATGCGTTGGCGTGCTTCCAAATACTTCCTCATTCTTTCTTCGTAGGATGGCATACTCACGGTCTTGGGCAAATATTTCTTTGTATTATTTTTGATTTTATCGAAAATGCTAATATTTGTTGCACTTCCAGGTAGTTTTGCGTCGCGACTTAGCCCGTCGGCTGTTGGTGTGTTGGTCGAGGCATCTACTGGTGCGGGGTTTGTGTGGAGCGCGATTCCCCCGTCGTAATGGCGTTCCGTAAGGCGTTTCCCGCTGGGTTGCATACCGGACATTTCGGTGTTATGACATCTAACTTCCCACATTTGAAGCAAAATATTCGGCGCTGCATGGACATGCAATCGGTGAAGAAATGGCCTTCCACACCACAATTCCAACACGATACCTTGCTGCGCCCAGCTGGCTGTCTAGCCGCGCGTTGGTGGCGTATTTCCTCCACGGTGACTTGACCCTCATCACCGGGAGAGAAATGTTCTTCGTCTTCGATCGACATGATTTCATTGACGTGTTGTGAGCGTGGAACAAAGCCACTTGTTAGCGTGCGATCCCTACGCGGAAAACACCGTTCCACTTCCTTACATTCCAACCGTAGCTGCTCGAGTGAATACGCGGCAATGGGATATACTATCTTAGCCAACGATTCGCGCAAATTCCCTTTCACTAATCGGATAATCTCGTACTCCGGAATTGGATTTCTAAGTCGCGAGCGCAATGTACCCACCACGTGAAAATACTCCTCTATGGATTCACCAGGTCTTTGCTTCCGCTCCGTCAATTCCCTCAGAAGCTCGAAGTCGGTGTGTTGTGATGCGAATTGGCGTCGAAGTGCGAATTGCAAGCTAGGCCAATCCACTTTACCATGCGACTTAATATAGAGCCAATACCATTCACGCGCCTCCCCACTCAACAGCCTATGGAAGTCGCGTAGAATTTCTCCCCATGAACACGCATATTGTTCCTTCAGATATTCTAACCGAAACAGAAAATCTTCAACTGACATTGAACCTCGGTTACCTTGATAATTTATCCCCCATTTTTCTATGTTAATATCCGATCGACTATCATCTTTATAATTTTCTTTTACAGACCTAGGACGACCGCTTCCAGAGGGAACTGCCGCGATTGCTGCATCTAGTGTTGGTGGTTGGCGAACTGGTGGTGGATCGTGGTAAGCCAGTGCATATGTAGCTGAATGTGACCTTGCAACGTAGTTGTTTCTGTTTGCGGCTTCTGCGGTGTTATTACTAACCTTATCACTCCTAGGTGCGACGCTATCTGAACGTCTCGACTCCAAGGATTCGATGCTGGTATTGTGTTTCCTCTTTTTGCTCATTCGGTTGCGCGCCCTATTATCGAAACCTGACGCGCCTGCCCGTGCACCTGGGCCTCGTGCTGTTCTAATTAGCTCCTGCATATTCTCGCGCATTTCGCTCATCAGGCACTTTTGTGCTTCCGCAACCATTTCTTTTAGAACCGGTGCTATTTCATCTCGGATATCACGAGCCTTGGTTGAATTGCTTATGGGAAGCCGGTTGGTCCCGCCGTAAGTAGTTGGAGGAGGGTGGGGAAAAGTCCAGGGGAGTGGTTGTGGTAGCGTTAAGGTTATTGATTGGGACTCAGTCTGTTTGGGAACCGCCCCGGTGTTTTTAGTTGCACCTGATGCATTGTTTGCAACTTCCTGCACTGAGTCACTACCAGTTGACCTAGCGTTATTATTGCCCCCTATGCGATCTGATAGGTCTATGAAGGCAGGGTCGTTTGTGCTTTGCTCCTTTTGTGGAGGCACGTTCCCTGGTGGATGCATATTAGCTTTTTTTGTGTTCGCTCGGGTATTGTAAGCAATTTGAGTGCGTGTCATTCAAATATATGTACAAATATATAAAAAAATATTATTTACGACGAAGAGAATTAAAAATTATTCTTGGATCGATATTGACTTATGCGATTTCATAAAAACGGGGGAGGGCTAGATGACGTTCCGGGGTTGAGGATCGGTTGACCAAATCCTTTTCGGGGAGTGATTGGAGCGCTGATCGTCGTTCCTGCGAGCAACAATATGCCAGTTCGGTGCAAATAATAAAAAAATCTAAGTTAAGAAATATTCAGAATCAATATGGTTATGCATCGTTACTGAGAGTTAGTTGCGGTCATAACGTACTTTTAAACTTCAAAGCAGCTTAATTACTTCATGCACCTATTAGGACTTTGAATAAAAGCAAAAAAAATTTACATCCTGAAACTACTTTCCAAACAAAAAAAATACAAAGAACCATACAAAAAATGCATTGTGGATGGAGATGCAAATAGTTTGGACTATTCATATCCAGCTATGCCATCTTAGGGTTATTGCCGGGGTCTGGTCATCCCACAACCCTCTTAATACAGATGCGGTTGAACTTGCGCACTAATGCTGAAAGCAAGCCATCTCTTTAGGAGGAGAATGCAGTCCAACCGGACCCTTTTATTCGAACGATATAACAAAAAAAATACTTTTATAGGCTGAAATAAATTTATATACGAACTTTGTATGCATGTACATATGTATGTGTACCTATGTTCGATATGCGTTTTCATTGCGCTGCTTAGGGCGAGGCCCACAGCGTTATTTCCCAAAATACTTAAATTCGCAGACGCCAATTTCAACCTATGGCGCTAGTGTTATTTCCGGTGGTTTTTGTTTGGGCGCCATTTTATCTTTGTCGCGTACACGTGTCGCCCATTTTCAGACCACCATTGTGGTTGCC